ATCCTTTTGGGCCATTTCTACATTGGTGCCACAGCGTTCGGATTAATTATATGAATATTAGGGAAGCATATATTCCAAATTTGCTTTCTTTGGCCAAGTTACATTTGGTCATTTACGCCAACTGAGGAAATTGGAACGTTTTGTGTCACAGTCTTTCATAAGTGAGATTTCCGGCCAGTGATTTAGCTGTTAACATCCAATCAGCATTCACCTTATCCCATACTTGGCCACCCTGCCCCTTCAACTTAATCTATGGCCCCTAACATTCCCCCCCCAACAAATATATCCTGAGTCTCTTAAGGTTTACAGAACATATCCTACCCCAACTTTCACACTGCCCAGCTCTGTTCCTACTTCACAACTCTCAGCCTACTTGTTTCCCCCACATCCATGCTTCACTTGTTATAGACTGTCAACAAAATATTCAGCCCCACCTGGCCCTAGGCCTCACAAGGTCTACCTTAAATTAACTGGTGGTTTGCTTCTTCAACGTAGCCACACTGTTTTATCAACAGTCTACCAAAAACCTTTCCCGCCCAATGGAAGCAAAGAGTGTGCAAAAATACATATATTAAACACACAGACGGAGCCAGTGTGATGTGGCTTGAGTGTGCAGCTTGGATGTGGGAAACCCAGATCTGAATCCCCATTTAGCACCGAAGTTGACAGGGCACCCTTATGCAGGCCACTGTATTTCAGCTTAAGCTATTTTACAGGGCTACTATGAAGCTCAAATGTAACAATAATATGCAGAGTCATATTTGCATATGCCGCAATAACTCCTGTGTCTCATATATTTGGATACTTGTAAAGATACCATTCACAAGGTTGGCCTTACAAAATTTATGGCAGAACCTTTTAGACTTCTACAATGGTAGGACAGGAGGCAGCAGCTGTGCTAGTACAGTGGTCAGGTTCAAGCAGCATGGGATAATTTGTCCTCTCATGCCAGTATTAAAATATGTCAGCCCAAGGAATAGCTTGAAGAACAGTCTACACAGGCATGAACTGTGGGATCCTGAGAAGGTTTGAAATATTTTTACTAGAATTTGGTTCTCAGACGTGTGTGTACATGTGTGCACACACACATGTACACAAACTGCGTAGGAAAGCCAAGTAAGACAAAATTTAAATCCTCTATCCTAGCAAAAACATTATGTTGTACGATGCATATAATCCCTTATTTCCATGCCACAACATTTTTGTTTCATCCAATTTGTAAAGATCAATTTGTGATCTTGTTTTTTGTCTTATGAACATTGTATCAGTAAGGAAAAACCAAATCAACTCATGCTTTCTGGAATTAAAACACTATCTCTAACTACATTAAATTTCTGAACATTAAGGATGGACTCTTATACCCATTTAGCAGGAATTACTTCTGAGTAGACCTGCACAGGTTTGCTCTGTAAATATTCCTGCCATCTTTCAGACCTCAACCACAATATTGTCACTGAAACCCTACACCTATACAACTTCCTGTTTCTTAACTTTCATGCACAAATTCCTATCATCTCTAATAAAAGCACATCTAAAATTAAGAATAAAAGGTAAAGGTACCCCTGCCCGTACGGGCCAGTCTTGACAGACTCTAGGGTTGTGCGCCCATCTCACTTAAGAGGCCAGGGGCCAGCGCTGTCCGGAGACACTTTCCGGGTCACGTGGCCAGCGTGACAAAGCTGCATCTGGCGAGCCAGAGCCGCACACGGAAACGCCGTTTACCTTCCCGCCAGTAAGCGGTCCCTATTTATCTACTTGCACCCGGGGGTGCTTTCGGACTGCTAGGTTGGCAGGCGCTGGGACCGAACAACGGGAGCGCACCCCGCCGCAGGGATTCGAACCGCCAACCTTTCGATCGGCAAGCCCTAGGCGCTGAGGCTTTTACCCACAGCGCCACCCGCGTCCCTCAAAAATTAACAATTAATTAAAAAATTAAGAATAACAGAGCTCAAAAACCATATTGGAGGTAATGCTAGAGTCAGAGATTAGGAAATGGAAATATTAAGTAACCTTAAGTACTAAACAAATATAACTTTTATAATAAACATATAAACGTTTCCAGTAATACATTTTTATTAATGAAAAACTGACATAATACAGGAGCCCAAGCAAAATTTCAGAATGTTTACATGAGAAAAAAATTGAACTAAAAAAATTTGATTTTATGAACTGGTATCAAATGCCAGCTATGATCAGTGTTTTACCAATGACAGTGCCAAGATTCCCATGGATCTTTTGCCCACAGATATTCTTTGAACCAATAACTTTATTTAGATAGCACAATAAAGGTAACACTGTACCACATCCTGCAAACTTATGCATAGACATTAATTTATTTATCTTGAAAGTATGGATATAAATCATGTTTCCTCTCAGCAAGCTACAGAATATAGTATACTAAACTAAAGCTTTACTATGCTAAAGCTCCTAAACTCATTTACTTGCAATTCCACTGAAACCAGTGTCATATAGTAAGACTACAACATTCATTATTAACATTCATTATTAATATTTGTATAGCACACAATAGCTAATATTCTCTAAAACTCATGCCTATTAATTCCGTAAAGAAAAGAAAAAAAAAACAAACCAACTGATCACTTTCTGTCAATATAATATATATTAGCACATGTGCAGACTCTAACTCCAATAGCAATATTTCAATTTAATTCATATGTCTGATAATGAAGGCCTAATAATGAGTTCAGGAGAAAAAAATATCAGTCAGTAACTGCATCCCAACAAAGTAGAAGTGTGTGTGTACACATATACACACACACAATGACGTAAGTGCTTCATGTTTTTAATAAGTACAACATACACAATCTAAAAAGAAAAGCAACAAAATTATTGTGGCATACAGCAAGTGTGGAGGGGGAGACCAGGGCCTTACTAATTCATAACAAATAAACAGATTCTTACATTAGGCCTCTGTTACTGGATAGGTAGGAAACATTTTTGCGTATTTTTCTTAAGAGCTACAATAAACATGGGTGGAGGGGAGCTGCCATCCTTTTTCACAGCACTCTGTATAGTGTATCACTGCATGGGGTATAATAATATTTATTGTAGCTCAGGGACATTGCAGGTTGAGAATCATGTTTAGGGACCCCCTTCGAAGCCTGAAAATGACATACATGTTTCTCTGAAAAAATAAACGTGGAGTATTGCCGTCCAGACTAAACCAGGGATTTCCCCTTGAAATGCCAGCTTCCCATCATTACAGGGGTAATAAATTCTAAAGGGAAACTGCCAGGGAAACCGGCTCTATCCCTCCCTGCCTGCCTCCTTCAGTTCCCCCAAAGGACGCTCTCAGGCAAGTAGATGCTTAAAGGGGGGGGGGGGGAATCGGCACAAGCATGGATGTGCGCGTTACATAATCATACCCAAACATCCATATGCACACGCATTATATAAGAAATGCATTTCTCTGCAATCAAATAGGAGAGGGTGGAAGGGGAGGAGGACGGAGGGTGGTGGGGGGCGAAAGCGCCTTCGTTCCAAACCCCTCAGGGGAGCCCATGTGCAGAAGAGGGGAGAGAGAGGGAGATCACATCTGCTTTCGCAGCAACAGCAGCAGCAGCAGGCAGAGCCCCTTGTTAACCCCCTTCCTGTGGCTTTTACACGTCATGGAACATTCCCGGAACGGGCCAACGTTCCACCCACTTCAGGGAACAGACATAAAGGCGCAACACACCAGATAGCCTTCTCCCTTTACCCCTGTCCGCCCTGCGCACATTCGTCGCAAATCGAACTCCCCCCCCCCCCCACGGCGCGCGCAGCAGCTCCGCGCGCGCTCCTCCTCTTCTTCCCCCGCGCGCACAGCTGCTGCTGCCGCCGCCACGAGCTGCTGCTGCTGCTTCCTCCTCCTCGGCCCCCCTCCAGGGGCTCCCACATGCCACCTCCGCCCCACGGCCGCAAGGCGAAGACGACGTCGAACCGAAGGCAATTCAGGCGGTGGCGGCGGCTACTGCCAAGTCACCCTGAGCCCTTGGAGGCGGTGACTGAAATTCCTTCCGACAGCAAGCGTCCCCCCCACACGGACACCGTGCGCCGCCCTTCCAAGGCCCCCTCGGTCCCCTCAGCCAAGCAAGCGCGCGCACACGCGGAGGGGGGCTTGCCCTCCCCTTCACCTCGCCGCCAGCTACCTTGACATGGGCAGAGCGGTGCCTCAGCCCAGCAGCGGCAGCCGTGTCGCGTCGCCTCCTCTGGGGCTCTCTCGCTCGCTCGCTTGCTCGCTCTCTGCTCTTCCTCCGCCTCCTCAGCTGCTCATTAGTAACCATGCACATACTTCTTCCCCACAGGAGGAGATTACGCAAGGCAGCCTGCGCCTCATCTGCATACACTTACATGCTGGGTATTCCCCACATTCCCTAGCAGTAAGGCCACTAGCGAAGACCTTCCCCTTTGCGCACAGAGAGAGAGAGAGAGAGAGAGAGAGAGAGAGAGAGAGAGAGAGAGAAAGAAGGGGGAAGCAACGGCGACTTGTGAGGGAGAGACGGAGGGTTTTCTGGACGGGGGGGGGGGAGGGAGGGAAGGGGAGGGGAGGCGGTTCCTAGCGAAGGTTGCCAGATATGAACTTCTTATAAACACGAAGCAAAAGCCACCCTGGATAGACCCGAGCCTTTCCCGAGGACGTGGTGGTGACAGAGCCTGGGGCTGCCTCTGCCCTCAAGGCTTCCATTAGTCGCTCTATCGACTGCATCGGAAATGCTTGAGCATCCCAGCGCAGCAGCGAAAGGAGACCAGCACATATTCCTAGCTCCCCCCGGCCCCTCCTTCCTCAGCACCATCTCCCCAAAGGAAACTGAGCAGTTCAGGGAAAATGCGGGGGGGGGGATAAGTGATGCTACCCATCCAAACACACTAAGTCCCCCCTTTTCACCCCGCTGGCAAAACCTTGAGCTCTCCCCCCTGTGTATGTATATTATTTCAACGTCTTCTTTCAGTACATGCACGCAAGCCAGCAAAAGCACTTGCTCTCCGACTACCAAAGGGGGGGGGGTGGACAAAAACAAACAGCGACATGACACGGCCTCTCCCCCCCACACACAGTGACAGTAAAACCCCTGACCGTGGCGATCAAGACCACCTCAGAGGGTTGTCAGTTGCTTCGAGCCCCACAGGAAAAAGAAGGGGGTGAGTATTTGCAGCAGGAGCTCACCTGGGAGTCACCGAGAAGGAGGAAAGCCCTCTAACTGCCGCCCTTCTTGCTGCTGCTGGTGGTGTTGTTGTTGTTGACGACCGGCCCGTGTGTGATTTCTTGTTGCTCTCTTGCTAAGCCTGGGTCTGCCTTTAAATGCCTTGCTGCATTGCTTTATATAGAGAGGCAGAAAGAGATATTCCGACAGCCAAAGGGAGTCTGATTCGTGTGTTTCTATTCAAACCGATCATTCATCTTGCTTGGGTCTTTTCCGCCTTCTCTTTTCCCTTTCTCTCTCCGCGTCAGCTCGACTTTATTACAAAAAAAACACACCTATACACGCGCGCATATATACATATATATGTATCGATATATACACACACACACATACATCCACCCACACGTATCAAGGGCAGGCCCGAGAAGCCGCAGTTGTTGTTGTGTGTGTGTGTGTGTGTGTGTGTGTGTGTGTGTGTGGTGTGGCGTGCGTCCCCCCCCCCTTCTCCTCCCTTCTGGATGATAGGAGCCTCTGATCTGCAGACAGACTGGGTTATTCCTGGCACCACTTCCCAGAACAGAAGTTACAAGGGGAGAGCGAGCGAGCGAGGGGAGAGCTCAGCCAGTGATGTCATCGGATCCCCCAGCGCGTCCCGGGGAGGGAGGGAGGGAGGCAAGCAGGCGAGGAGGCTGAACCAGAAGGCCAGCAGCGCGAGAGAGCCGCCGCGGGCTCCGTTGCGCGCCTTTGACAGGCGGAGTGCGTAGGAGAGGGGCACCGAGGCGGGGCGGAGAGAGGGAGGGAGAGGAGGAGAGGAGGGGGCGGGGCCTCCCTGAGAGCGGAGAGCTGCGCGCCTCCCTCGCCGGTCAGGGGAGCTCTCGCTTCCTCTTCCCTCCCCCCGCGGAGGGAACTCCCAGGAGAGCCGGTCTCAACTTGCCGGGCAAAAAAAAAAAAAAAAAAAGTTGTGCGACTTCCTCGCCTGAGAATTTCCTTTAAGGATGTGGGTGGGATCTTCTTTCCCGCGACCAGGCTCCCCTTCCTCCTCCTCCGCCCTTTTTGGTTGCTTTCCGTCCCCGGTCTCCGCCTCCCTCGCCTGGCCAAGGTCATTCCTGCGGCATTTCTTCCTTGCTTTCTTTTTCAAAGTTCGCCTTTTGCGGCTTCTGGCGCAGGCGGCTGCGCGGCGAATCGCCTGCACCGCTGCCCTTTTCGCTCCATGCGCCCGGGGGAAGTTCGTCGGGTGCTGGCGGGACCTCGCTGTTGCTCCTGCGGCCTCGCGGCTTCTACCTTGTCCTCGGCGGCATGCGATTTTTGAAAACAAAATGTCTCACTTAGCGGCGATGCTTCAGCAGCAGCCGGTGTGGATTTCCAGGCGGGAAGTGAATAGTTTAGGGAATGATCTTGCTTTGACTTTGGTGATTAGCCGCAGTATTTACTTGCGTTTTGGTGGGGGTATTTTTTTCTCCCCATGGCAGATAAATAAATTCATTTTAAAGAGGTGCCGGGGGGGTCGTAATAAAACATATTTTGGGTTGATTTGCAGATTTATAGAAATTGTCCAGATCAGATGACGTTCTTTCAGGAATGTTATGGGAACGCCAGCAACTCCTTTTTTCAAAGGACTGTCAGTCTGAATAGTATGAACTTCGGAGTTTGTCTGGGCTCTCTGAGCCAATCAAAATTTGCAGCTCTTTACCTCCGGTGGGTTTGAGCCATTCTCAAGCAGATATGGAATGGGATGGAATTTGGAAAATGGGATCTAGTAGAATCTAAATTCGCATGACTTAAGTTCGGATCACACAAAACCATCAGCAAACGGTGCCATAAAACTTGTGGAACCAAAACTTGTATGTTGCTGCAGCGGTATAAAAAAAATACAGGCTCAAAGAGACTTCCTTGTGGTTTTCACATGGCGCCCGTCCCCCCAGCCATCTTCAAAGGCACATCCTTTTCTATGGACTTAACATAACTTAATAATAAAAAAACCACCTAATAATAATCACCATGGACTTATAGCTTTGGGGTCTAGCATCTGCTCTGCATGCAGAATGTTCAATCCAGGTTCAATCCTCAGCATCTCCAGGGAGGGCTGGGAGAGACCCCTGCTTGAAATCCCGGAAAGCTGCTGCCAGTCAGTGTATAGGCAATTCTCGGATCAGGGGTTGCTATTTCAGGTGGTCCACGGTCCATCTGTGCATTTGTGGCTGAAGATGGGAGTTATCACATCCACCACATTAAATATTGGTATTGTTTTTACTTGTACTTTACTTGTTTTTTTATTTCTTGTATTTTATTTTATTGTATTGGAATTTGACTTCTATGGAATTCAAAATGTAATACTGCAATTGTATTTTGTGATACTACAAAATACAATTTATAAGAAATAAAAGCAGCAGTAAAAGTACAGCCCCTAGCACATCACATTACAATTGCTACAACAGGCAGAAAAATAATTAAGTAGACTGTCAAGACCAGCAATTTTCAATTCGTCTTTTTTTTTTTTTTTTGCAGGGGGAGGGTAGTTTGGGAACCACTGAGCTAGATGGGCAGTGGTCTGACTGTATAATACATCTCCCCATGTTCCTTTCTACCAAGTGGTATCTGGCATTATGTGTCTTCTCTGAATATGACTAAAATTCCATATCCCACACAAAACCAAAAATCTGAAGCATGACGCAGTCTATAGACAAAGTTGTGATTTGATGGTGGATTTGGAGAGACTCCATACAAAAAGCTACACCTCCGATTTGTGTTTTTGTGCCACTGTGGCACTACAAAACATTGCATTGGTTATTTTTACAGTGTGGTCTGTGGGCATGGATTTGAGCTGTTGATCCATCTTTTTCAACATAGTGTACAATTCCTGTAAGAAACTAAAAGGAAGCACACATTATTATATTTGAAATGGAAGCTCTTGTAGTTCTCTGATTTCTGGGTAATTTGCAGCTACTTTCGATTTTCACACATCCTGCCAAGGTTTGGCGTTTACTTCTATAGCGTAGAGTTGTAATTTAAAACCACCACCTCAAATTAGAGTTTAGCCACACTGCCACAACCTTGGACTGGTAGTTCGGAAGAACTGCAATCTGTTTGTTCATACCAAAAGCCCTTTCCTGGCTATGTGAGATGCAGTACCCTCTGGGATTGGTCCTGAGTGTCTGTAATAATAGTAGGAATTAAAATGTTATGTGAATAGGGGCATGGAAAGAAGCCGCTCTAGGGAACTCCAACCGAGAAATGTGACCTAGGACAGTAATCGTTCTGAGATCAAGTTGTTAAGAATCACACAGTGTTAAGTAAAGTTTGTACCATGCTTGGATCCCCTGTAGCATCATTTTATACTGCTTGCAGCAGCAAATATTACAGTGTTTCAAGAGGAATTTAAAAAACAAAGCAAAATGGTCTAGTTAAAGCCTCCAGGTCATTGTTTAAAAGAAACATTGATAAAAACTGGAAAAGATTGGTAGGGGGGGCATTTATTTACACAGAGTTGCAAATGGAGAAGATAAGGACGACAAATTTCAGTCAGCAAAAAGAAACAGAAGAATTAAGAGGTATCTTATAATTTTCCATTTGGTGAGAGAGGGAATACAAGTTTTGACATACCTGAAGCATTCTATGTACCCAGATGAAACACTACATATACAAGTTGCAAATTGTTCACAGGAATTCAAAGTAAAGGAGACCGTAGAGACTCATTTCTAACTCATTCAAAGCTGTTTGCACATATTTATTAATTTGGGGAGGTGTGTGAATCACTTCCAGTAAGTGACTTATTAAAAACTGCATGGTGTGTGTGGTATAAGAACATACACATGGTGTCTAGAATATTAGAAATTATTTAATCTTGGAGTACACTGGATACTAGCGCATCCATTAAGTACATGCCCAAGTCATTCAACATTCAGGCTGATGGCACCATAGGTAGAATCTCACCCTTTTAGGGCTGCTTGGGTAGTTGTTCCATGTATGTTCTGTTACGTATAAATGCAGTTGTTTCAACCATTTTGCGTATCACCAAACCTAAGAATCACATTAAACATGAGTCAGCACAGAAGCCCCCCTGGCTGGGCCAATGGAATCCCAGCTCTGCATGTGGGATAGTAAGTACTTACAGAGTATGTGTGCAATACTGGCAAGAATTTTACCAGACCCAGCATGGTGTAGTGTTTAAGAGTGGTGGACTTGTAATCTGGTGAACCAGGTTCGTGTCTCCGCTCCTCCACATGCAGCTTCTGGGTGACCTTGGGCTAGTCACACTTCTCTGAAGTCTCTCAGCCTCACTCACCTCACTGTTGTGGGGGAGGAACAGAAAAGAGATTGTTAGCTGCTTTGAGACTCCTTAAGGGGAGTGAAAGGTGGGATATAAAATACAAACTCTTCTTCTTCAGAGGTCAGCAAACCTTTTCAGCAGGGTGCCAGTCCACTGTTCCTCAGATCTTGTAGGGGGGCGGACTATATTTTTTGGGGGGTGGGGGATGAACGAATTCCTATGCCCCACAAATAACCCAGAGATGCATTTTAAATAAAAGCACACATTCTACTCATGTAAAAACACCAGGCAGGCCCCACAAATAACCCAGAGATGCATTTTAAATAAAAGCACACATTCTATTCATGTAAAAACACCAGGCAGGCCCCACAAATAACCCAGACATGCATTTTAAATAAAAGGACACATTCATGTAAAAACACGCTGACTGTCCACGGGCTGGATTTGGAAGGCGATTGGGCCAGATCAGGCCCCCGGGCTTAGTTTGCCTACCCATGTTCTTCTTCTACCCATCACTTTTGTTGCATCTCTTCTGGCTGTTCTGATGCACATCAGTGGTGTCTGTAGCATGTATAACAACACTCGCTTGATGTGTGTGTCAATTTTAAAATGTATTCCTTGTTATATATACGCAGTAGGGAAGCCATAACTCAGTGGAAGGGCATGTGCTTTGCATGCAGAAGGTCTCAGGTTCAATCTCTGGCATCTCTAGGTAGGGCTGGGAGAGACCAGTCTGAAATCACAGAAAGTCACTGCCAACCAGTGTAGACAATTCTGAGCAAGATGGATCAATGGTCTTACTCAATATATTGCAGCTTAATATTGTGCTGGTCCCAGGGGGATAAGGTACTATTACCGTAGCCCAAGATCAGTCCAGAGTCTCTAGCAGGGTAGACGATCACTAGATGAGACGCGAGGTCCGAGACAGGGAGCCGGGCGGGGTAACAGGAACGCTGGTAGGGCAGAAGCAGGAAGCCAGGCGAGGAACAGGAACACTGGTAGGGCAGAAGCAGGAGTCCAGGCGAGGAACAGGAACACGGGATAGTCAGGAACAGGAAGCCGGGCGAGGAACAGGCACACTGGGAGTGCAGATCAAGGACTGGGTAAGCAGGTACTCCACAACGACGTTGCTCCCGCAACCTGGGACCGGGCTGCCTGACCTTTATCTTCTTCTAAGGCCGGGGGCGGTCCTGGCCCCCAGAAGCCCTGCCTCTCTTGGCCTTAAGGCGAGCACTCCTCCTGGGAGACACCAGTTCCCTTCGCCTCTCTGCCCTAAGCCTCTGCAGATCAGGAGAGGCCGAAGGGTTACTGGGCCCCGGGGGAGGCTCACCTGTAGCCACTGAGTCTTCCAGCACCTCTGGGGCCAGAATGGTTTCACCTGGTGCCTGCTCTTGAGGTTCCTCAGCATCTAGGCCTTGCCCCAGTTCAGCCGGCCATGGAGGCGGGGACTCCTGTGCCGGCTGGGATTCCTCTGGATCGCTCTCAGACTCGGAATCCCAGGCCATCACAAATATGTTCTCAGTAACAAGGCAATTCAATAGCCCCTACTACTGCCTTTTCTGTGGTGGCTCTCCACTTATGGAATGCTCTTCACAGGGACACTTGCCCGGTACCTTTGTTACATATCTTTAGGTGCCAGGCAAAAACATTTCTCCCAAGCCTTTGGCTAATTAAACAATTTATGGCCTTTTTAACTGGGGGATTGTTTTTGTCTGGTACTACGCTATGCATTTCTGTGTTTTTATATTGTAAACTGCCCTGTGATCCTCGGATGAAGAGAAGTATAGAAATTTAAATAACAAAAACAACATCTTACATATAGCTCAGTACATAGGCAAATGCATTTTAAGAGAAATGTATGTGGAATATCTTGTGCAATATCAGTTCTGAGGACCTTTGGGACCCTCCCAGTTCTCTAATTCCATGATGATATTACATTATTCGAATCTCCTCGAATAAGGTGCGGGGTGAAGGATCTTAGCAAAGGGGAATTAAGATGAAGGGATATGCTACAGTGTTTGCATAGCAATGGCCAGATCAAATCATTTAGCTGAGGAACATGTGTCCCTGCTCTGGAGCATTGCATTCTAAAAGCAAGTTTTATCGCAATATATGTACATAAAATCTATACCTACATATTAAACAAGTTATGAGCAGTACTAACCTATGGTGCATTAATATGTGTTATTATTTGACATAAATGATCATGACATCTAACAGAATACAGAACAGGTAGGATTATTAGACACTGTAATTATGGATATTGAGCCCTTAATGGGGGGGAATCATTTTTAAGTTCCTCAGACCCTGAAAAAGTTGAATTTAAATAATGCAGTTTTTACTTGTCAGATCCCCCTTCCAGCTAAGTAGCAAGTTGAACGGGAGCTGCCTGAAAAATCTGCCAAACCATTATGAGCACTCCAAATTGAAGATAAATGAATCTCTTGAGTGCCACCCCCAGCTTGTCTTGAATATTCATTTTTACATTTTATTTTTATAGTATTTGATGAGTGGAAAAGTATCATTTGACCATTTGCAAATGTGCTGGTATAAAAAATGCAAGAAGATGTCTCCAAGAAATAAGATGTACATGAGAACAAAGCGACAAGTTATGAAATATTAGCAGAAAAATGGGTTGTAGGCAATGTTACTTCAGTTGTTACACTTCTATAGGTTTCACAGAATAAAGGAACAAATAAAATTCTTTTTCTTATTGGGCCAAATATTTGTATAAATGGTGCCCCTAATTTAAAGCTGCGTCCCTAAGCAAACTTTCTCACAAGTAAGCATCATTGAATACATTGGAACTTACTTCCGAGAAAACATTCATATTAATGTGCTACAAAAGGTGTAATGTTTGTCAAGTGCAGGTAGCTGATCTAATGTAAGATATTATTTCACCTGTTCTTTGTCTCTCTTGATTTTTGTCATTTAATCTTCACCGAGACAGAATGTGGCCAACTCCCTTGAATGCAGTGTTTGTTTCCCAATATTCTGATGGGCATCAGTAGAAACTATAAGCTTCAAACATTTATTCTATTTTGCCCTCATCTTTTTTGTGTTCCAGTTTCTATCTGGGTGTACTGCAGAGCTCAACAATTTTCCTTAAAGATTTTCAGAATTGCAAAAGCAGAAAAGGGGCTGAGTCAACTACAGCACTATGGTGATCTGCAATGTAGCTTTATTAGACGTTTTGTTTTTTTGTTTTTTGTCTAGGAATGAAATTAATTAACAGCAATTACAGTGTGTGAAGCAGACACTCTTAACACCTTTATATTGTGGCTGCTTCAGACAAAAGCTGTCAATGCAAATGGAGTTTGAATACCAGTGCGAACATTTGGTTTACGGTAAGGTTCAACTAGAACACTTTGTATATTGTTTTAATTCTTTATATCTTATCTTCAAACTAGCCTGCTTGTGTAGTAAGATCTTCTGTAGAAGCCTTTCCCCAAACATTGCTGTAACAAAGGTCTATTGTGTAGGGACGCAGGTGGCACTGTGGGTTAAACCACAGAGCCTAGGGCTTGCTCATCAGAAGGTCGGCGGTTTGAATCCCCGCAACGGGGTGAGCTCCCATTGCTCGGTCCCTGCTCCTGCCAACCTAGCAATTTGAAAACACGTCCAAGTGCAAGTAGATAAATAGGTACCGCTCCGGCTGGAAGGTAAGCGGCATTTCCGTGCACTGCTCTGGTTCGCCAGAAACAGCTTAGTCATACTGGCCACATGACCTGGAAGCTGTATGCCGGCTCCCTCAGTCAATAAAGCGAGATGAGCGCCGCAACCCCAGAGTCGGTCACGACTGGACCTAATGGTCAGGGTCCTTTACCTTTACCTATTGTGTTGTCATAAAGGAGAGAGCCCGTTCTGTGGTGGCTCTCCAACTTTAGAATGTCCTCACAAAGGAGGTGTGTGTGGTGCTGACTTCACAATTTGTTGGCCTCAAGTTAAGATTTTCTTATTTTTCCAGGTATTTTAGAAAGAATTGCAACTGGAACTGCTTTTCAGGATTTATATCCAGCCCATCAGCCAAAAAAAAAGCTCTCAGAATGGCTTACAAAATTCACTTCAAAGGTGGTCCCTTCCCAACAGCCTACCAGCTAAGAAGATATGGCACACAAGGAAAAAAGAATGGGAAAAGAGGAAGAGAAAGCAAGCTTAAGCACAAGTTCTTATAGTTGCAGTTTTGGTAAAGAGCAGTCCCTTCCCTGAAGCACTCTTCCCTCTGATGAGATCCAGGAGTGGAACTGGTGACAACATCCAGAAGATCTGGTCAGCTCCTGCCACACAGTTCATCCTTAATGGCTTACTGAAGATTCAAAGGACATGAATCCACCCCCAAAGTCAGTGGCAGTTCAGAAAACTCTTCCCTGCGTTTATAACCAAGACCTCAGCTGTACTGCAGAGGTGGCAACAAAGCCATGTGCCAGAATTTCCAGAAGACCTCAGTGCTTTAGCATGTATGTTGGGTGTTGATCACTTTGGGAAAATCTGGCCCTCATTTCTCTGCTGAGCATTTGACAATCTGGCCTCAGCTCCTTGATGTGAAAATCTGGCTCTGTACGTGGCAGAAATTAGTCAGAGTAGCATTTAGCACTGCAGTTATGCAACAGACAAACTGAGAAGCATTTGACAAAGCTGCTGAGTTTGTTCTCTTGCTGCGTGTCAGTTCTGTCCTTGATTCCTCCTCAGCTGCCTGCTTCAAAATGTACTATTATAGGACAGGGAGAATTGAATATTTCTACTGGGTATATTTGCTTCGGGGGTGGGGTGACAGCAATGAAAACTCTGCCCTTTGTTTTTAAAAATCAAATTGTTTTTGCTTATTAACCATACCTTTTTCTTTTCTTTTTTTTTTTGAAGAGGCATACTAACATTTCCCTATTTGAGATATGGAGAAAGACAGTAGCTCAGTGATATTGCACATGGAAGGTCCCACTGCATATTGCATATTGCACATGGAAGGTCCCAGCCCAGGTTCAATTCCTGTCATCTCTAGATAAGGCTGGGAGCATCCTTTGTCTGCAATCCTGGAAAGCCACTGCCAGTCAAAATAGACAATACTCAGCTAGGTGAACCCATGTTCTGACTTGGTAAAAGGCAGCTTCTGATGTTCTCCACTTGTGATTAGACTTGTGATTAGACGTATTAGCGCAGTAGTGGAAATAGCTCCTTCTTATTATGAATACATGCAACCTCCAGAGGCAGTGTTCATAGGGGGAGTACCTCAAAGTACCCATTGCTGGGGAGCAACTGTGTGAGATGGGTGTTGCCTTCAGTCCTCCTGGAGGATTCTGAATGGTCGTTGTGGGAAGCAAGGTGCTAGACCAGATGCACCCTTGATCTCATTCAGCAGGGTCCTTCTTAGATTCTTAAGGAGGGATATTAGGGAAAAGATTCAGTGCTGCTTTGCCAATCTTTCAGCAAACTGATTCTCCCATGACCACTGCCTGCCACGTTAGTGCCAATCATGGCAGATCACTGTGAGTGCCCTGTGGCTGATGTCCTGCATGAAGTACTTGGGCTCAAATTTTGTTTTCTGCCACAAACTTTAATGTTCAAATCAGTATAGAACATGGGCAAGCCAATGATCACTGGTGGAACAAGTGTATGGCAGGGCTAAGCAAACAAAAGGCATTCATTCAACAGCTGACACACACAGCTTCTATCATAAAAGGAGTGGGCAGGCATGACTTCAGAGTGGCAAACAGGATGTGGCTCGGTTCTTGCAGGCAAACGGGAACTCCACCTTGAAGGTAGGGCCTGAACAGTCGGTTCACACCAGCCCTGGCATCTCCATGGGGACAGACAGGTGAGGTGATTGCCTCCTTCCCCTTCAGCCCGATTGGACCTGAAGGTCGCTCAAGACAGCTAAGCTAATTATATGCACGGCATCACCAGGTCTGAAAGCTCTTACTAGTGAATAAATACAGCAACACATAATGATGTCATGCTCATGTTAGAATTGTATATTATTGCAACTGAACTGCACTATATGGACATCCCCCCCTTTATTGATTGACTTGCTTTTTCTGCTGCTGCAGTGAAAATGTTCACTTGTACAGCCTGTTCTGCAGTCTGTCCTGGTTGTTTAAAAATATAATGCAGCCATGAGGAGAATTGTGGTAGTGCCGTAAGCTGAGAGACTGTGCTATGAATCAAGAATCATGTTTGTTGCACAAGAGCACCAAATCAATTTTAAACTAAACTTGGAAATTTCTACATCCAAATCATATGCTCTACCAATGAACTATAGCACCTCCTCCTCCAAGAATGAAAAAATTCATTCTTGATTTTTGCTCAGTATACTCAGATGTTCATAATCAACCCATCCTCAATTGGCTGAACTGCACCATCCTCTCACCACCACCAGCATCTTAAAAATATCCTGTTCTCCTTTAGACAGTACATATGGGATTCCTAATAGTATCCAATGCAGGCACTTCCCAACAACTGCTGGAGGGCCATAGGTTTCCTATCCCTGTATTATAAGAACTTCACAGTCCTTAATCTCTGGTAATGTGCTTTAAGTAGATAGATATAAAACACACGCACAACTAGTATCTTCTGAGTTGCTCCCTAATCATGATGAATAAGCCACATAAATCACTATGCCAGAGCAATAAAGGTATGCTAACATGGAGCACTTTCCCTCCAATTTATATCTTCTTCTGTGTCACTGTAGAAAGGCTCTATTTTGGCTGGCGTGCATTGGTAAAAATGAAGTAAACAAAGAATGATAAGGGAATCTCATTCACTCTCACTAAAGCCCAATATGATAAGTGCAAAAGGCAGGTGGCATAAGCACTAAAGTAAGGATGGAGACGGCACGCTCCAGAGAATCAATCTGCTACATTAATGGCTAATGGCACTCTCTGTATTTATTCATTATTTATCACCCAAAGAAGTACATCCCGTCTAGACTGCAGGGGTCCTTTCGTAGGGGAAAGGCAAAGATGAACTTAATGAATTAACTGAAATTAGTGAGTTGTAGCTAACTCAGTCTGGCATATAAATTCAAAACAACACTCCACTCATAGTCCCTAATTTAAATGTCAATAAATACTTCCCCACGAAAATTAAATCATTATCCACAACTATCAAGGTTCCAGAGCTCCTGACATAATGCAATAATACTTCTAGTTCAAGTTTTGGATTAAAAAATGCAAAGCAATTCAGCTTGCCAGGTGGAATGATCCCACTGCTGGTATGTGCTCTTATTGGAGGTTCCCCTAAGCCCCACCCTAGCTGGTTTCTGGAGCACAGTACGTGGGGGGTGGGAAGCCCTGTTGTGCAAGAAAAAGTCATTACGCAGGCCTTCCATTGATGTGGTTTGTTAAGTGAATCCTGCCCTATGATTGCATCAGATGCCTTAAGCCAGAGGTTCCCAAACTTTCTACTCCCAGGGCCCACTTGCAACTACAAATGACTAATACCCACCAATCACAAAATATTGGCAGATGGAGACAGCTTTGCATAATCAGTGAGTAATTATCGAAATAATTTTCTACTGCTACCTAATCCATTTTTGGAAATGGATAAATTCTTTGCCATGGTGCTTTCCTTGTGGCAAGGAGTTCCAGAGTTCAACTTTCCTCAGGCTAAGTATCGACATTTTTGTTCTGGAGATATTGTGACTTAGCCTCCCCGTTTTAGGCAGGGGTCGTCTTATACATGGAAAAATATGGCATGCAGAGGACAATTGTTTCACTAATTCTAGTATAATCTATTATATGAGCATCTTGCAGGAAATCTGGCAAGAGCTGCATCCTGAGTAGTTCTTAAGAGACTGAAGGTTTTGTGACAGAGTTATGGAGTTTTAATCAAAAATAAAGTGACCAATATTCCACTCTGAGGCAACTCATGGAATTTGATAAATAGCTCTCAGTTGTTATTCATAGTTTATACAGGGCAATATTAGGAGAACAGCAACAACCCCAATATATTATTGTATGAATGGTTTGGGATTGTTAGTATTTCCAGAATTACATCTCTATAGCATTGCAATGAAAAAAGCCCTGCTTTTCCTATTTCAGAGTACACAGTGAAAATGCTTCATTGAAAATCTACTTATTAGATCAAGCTCGTCTGGATCCAGCAATTCCTTTGGCATGGGGATGGGAGCTCATCTCTGATGCTGGCAAGATCTGCATTAATTTAAATGGAGAGGAGATGTGTGAGAGATTGCATTGCTCCACTGAAATGCCTGAGAATCCATATGTATTTTTTAGTATATGTATCTGAACAGTGAATGTACTGGATGGAAGGGGATTCAAGTTAGTGGAGCAATTACGACGTTTTCCAGTATCACAAATAATTAAACTTTATGAAGTTCTTCTCTGTATGTATTCACAATATTGGCAATACTCATCAGAAAAGTAAATAAAATGCAATAGGTTCTAAAATACCTAGGTTTGGCTCATTCTGCAACTTGCTGCTATGATAGCAAGGATAAGGAATCAAGATGAGAGAAGGGACACAGGAAGAGTAGGAATATTTTGGGGAGCATTTAAAGAGATATAATAGTCAAAGAAACTTCCAAGTAGGGTTAGAAATATGAGCAGCAGTTAAAAACAACTAGGTTAGTGTACAGGAGGACTTGGGTGGTATTAGGATATGTAGCAAAATAACAAACAAACAGGGAACCATGGAGAGGTGGACATGGAAGTCTTATGAAACGAGATTAATGAAAGTAAATGTAAGTTGTACATATCAAGTTTTGGAAAATGCATTAATCATAATCAAATACCATGGTTTGGCTTCATAATTCTGGGTGCTCTGTGACAGAGACTCCAGGGCTAGAACCAGGCTTGGACCTCACTTGGTGAGTTGCCTCTAATTTCATGTACAGGTACATGTAACTTCAGGTACAGAAAGAATATACAACACTGGACCCTGTGAGTGATAGGTGGTATAAATTGGCATCAAGGAACTGCCAGCCTACGGAACTCATTCAGTCCACCAAGCCTCCCCCTCAACCCAGTTTACTGGCATCAGCAGCTATAAAGGTTCTAGTCAAAATATCAGGACCCTAACCCACTCTGCCTGGTTATGGAAGTAGCACAAGTATTTTCTTAAAGGAATTGGGAGCACAAGCTCTGGTACCAGTTTCTACACACCCTTCAGGCCTAGACTTTTGTACAGCTGTCCACGATCTTGATGGGGTCTTGATACTTTCATATTATCTCATTGTTCTCAAAGCAGCCCTAGTGGTCAGTGATCAACAGCCTGTAACTGCATTGTGAAATTCATTATGTTCCCTAATTACTATTCACAGCTTCTTCCTTTTTCTAAGTACTTGTTAGGGCTTCTGTATTTAGCTTCCTCCCAGCACTCTTCCCACACTTTACCTCCAAGTCCCACATTTCTCGTCAGCAGACATTAGTCATCCTAACACAGAAAGGGCCGAGTCTTGCTTAAACAATAGTTCGCCCAAAGGTCTTAGATGACTCAGAATGTCAGGATTTTCTTCTAAAGCAGCACTTAATATATAGTCCCTAAAGATTAATTCTCACGCTTGGCAGTTCACACATTCTATGAACAGATGATAGGTTGTCATCAACATTCTGTGAAGAGTCAAGATTAGGCTGAAATATGGGCCACGCAACTTTATGGTAACCATTAAAGAAACAGGATTCTAATGCCTTTAAGACTTATATAGAAGACCTCCCACTGCTAAATAACTTATTGAAATTTTCTATATAAACATAATATAAACTATCATTAAAACAATCATAAATATGCATTAATAAAAACACAGTAAAACTTCCTGCTAGCATATTTTATTTTGTAGTCGGAGTCTGTGTGCGCTTACATGAAAGTTACCCCCACTGAGGTAAATGGGATTCACTCCCAGATAAGTGTGCATAGGATTGCAGACTTGGGGATTTTAGAAAATGTAGCTTGCCAAGCAAGCACAAGAAAAGGAGTCCTGTTTCAATTTCCTTTTCTAACCATTATCTATCTGGACATAAATAATCATTATTCCAGAAGCTGAAGGGATAGGGGAGAAATTTGGCTTAGATTTTAATGTGAGCCTACACAACATGCACTTTCCAAAACAACAATCAAATCAAATCAAAGCATAGCTACCCTTTGAAATTTGAAATTCTCCAAATTTTGTGTTGTGAAAATGTTGGTGAATTTTAATTAGGACATAAAAAAAGTAAACTGCTGAAGAAATGTGAAGACTTGAATAATTTAAGACAGGAAAGATGAAAACCTGAATGAAACCCAAATTGGCAGATCCATGCCTAGGTAATTCAAGAAGCTTTGTAGTTTATGGTGTATATAGTCATATTGCAGACATCTCTGATAAACAGATTTTGCAGTGTTTCATCGTGCTTTAAAAATCTGCACAACCTGCTTTAACAGAGTTCATAGTAGAACAAAATAAATGAGGGTTTACACTAGAGTAACTATGCCTTGCCTGTAACTGTCTGTTCTCCTCGACCTTTTGACACCTCCTCAGTTCCTCCTTCCTTTTCAAGTGGATTCCAAGCGAAAATAATTATAATGCATTTAATACATACACAATATTTTACAAGTTTTGAAACCACTTTACTGCAGCACAGCTGGAACACTATTTTAGTTCAAAATATTGAAGTGAACTCATAAACCCTTTTATAGAAAGTTTATATTTTTAGCAGATGGTTAATACCCTATCAGACCATGGAACTAGCATCCTGCACAATTAGATTACAGATTTGTAAAAGCTATTTACTTGCACTTTCCCTTGGACTCTAGGCTTTTACTAAGCAAGAGACCATCTGACTCACAGACTATTTGTAGACACCTGTTTTAAATGAGCCAGCAGGATATGGCTATGTTGTCTTTTTGTAATTTGATCCCACACTTAGTTGAATGCACCTGATCTATCTAAAAACAATTTTTTTAAAAGTCCTACATTACTCCACAGAATCTAAAGCAATGTTGTCTGAAAACATATACTGGAGGTCATAGAAACACTGTAGCACATGCAATCTATATTCTCATTTTCTAAAGGGAGTGTATTGTGTAAGGTATTAAATAGCGATTGCTGATATACAGCAAAAATGCTTTCAACATTAGTTTAGTTTGAAGAAAGAATTTATGTTCACCAAATATCATGATTAAAATTTAATTAAAACAAGCACCACAGCCTCAATTAACCTTAAAAAAACCCCCAAAACCTAATGATTCTTGACTGCTTTGTAGATATGACCCTTTGCCAACTGAGTGAATAGCTCAAAAGAAAAAGAAATTAATCCAAACATGAACTGGGGTCATCATCCGTTAGAATATCCCTGTCTAGATAAAGGCGCAGCTGGGCCACCAGCTGAAGCTGATGGAAGGCACTCTGCACCATTGAGGCCCCCTGAGCCTCACGTGACAGCAAAGGATCCAGGAGTACCCCAACTATGTGCCCACTCCTTCACAGGAAGTATAACCCCATCAAGAGCAGGCAACCTCTCAGCCATCCGGTCAAGAGGACAATCCACTAAGAGTGCCTCAGTCTTATATGGACTGAGTTTGTTGGCTCTCATCCAGTCCATTATCAAGGCAAGGCACTGGTCCAGCACTTCCACTGCCTCACCTCCAGATGTGAAGGAGTTGAATGTCATCAACATATTGTTGACAAATGTGAGAATTATGTGCAATACCAGATTTTATAAAGAAAGGTGAGATTTATATATGGAAGATTGTAGTGTGAAGACTCCTTTGGATGGAAGGTCTGTCCTTACCCAGTTAGCTGCTAGAGGAGGTTCCTTCTGGGACAGTCTTACATTTGGGGACAAGATGGAATGCTGGTCCCTTTCTAGTCTCACTCCACCTTGCGAAACAGCAGGCCTGGTCTCTATTTCCTTCTAAGGGTCAAGAGCCTTTGAGGTCAGGAGAAGATGAGTATTCTAAAGCAAGCTCATTTGTGATACTAAACATTTTCAATAGGAATTTTTGTATTTTGATATACTTAAAAGATCCTTAAAAATAGCATTTTACCACGCTTTAGTGAGCTTGTATTGTATACATACTTGATTTGCTCACTACCATGTCATTAGCTCTTTTAATGTAGAGCAATTAGCTTCCTCTGCCAAATGTAGGCATGTAGTGATCATATGTAGCTCCCTATCTTTAATGAAGTACAACCAAGTATATCTTTCTATTTGGTTTATAACATAATGATTCCCAGTGAACACTGATTTGTTACACAACTCTACCTTTCAAGTTCATATAGCAGCTCAATATCCATTTTCCAAAGGAAGGGGAAATGCAAAATTCAGCAGAGTATGATATCCCCCTTTAAACATGGATATTCTCTATTGAAGCACCTACCCAGCATCAGCCTCATCTTCAATGAGGCCAGGAAATATTATTAAGCACAACATGATGCAATATCTTCTTTGAAGACAGAGATGGAAATGAAACTTTGTGTGCATATTCAAGATAATATGTTAAATTTCATGTTCAAACCACAAACACCACTTATGACTGGATTTCAAAAGGGCCAGAACAAGCAAACCCTCCTGAAGTTGCTAATTTGCAGAGAAGGAAAATTAAAAATGAATGTATTTTTTTTTCTTACCCAAGAAGCATTTGAAGGGCAATTTTTAAAAAATCTCAAAATGCTGGCATTTTATTTGCCACAAGAAAATCTAGATTGGGGCAGGGGTCGGTAAGACACGAGGTTGTCAAACCACCGCACATCTAACATTCCCTCCCACGTCTAGAAGCACTGCAGGCTTGAAAAAGAACCCGGAAGTCCTGGTTGGAAACCAATGGAATAGTGCTCTCTTGGTTACAGGAAAAAATGTAGAGTAACAAGCCAACGGCCTGGAGACGAAGCTTCCTGGTTCCTTTGGATGCTGTTTCCCCCCTCTCACGAGAGGAAGCGAAAGCTATCAATCGGAACACTATGGAGGAACGTAGGATTTTAGCGGAAAAACACTTAAGACGGAAAAGCAAAGACAAGAGCTCACACTTTTTATCACGCACTTATTATTTCGTGCGCAAAACGTGTGTGTTTGTGTTTAATTTTCACATGGCCTTGCAAGTGTGGGAAATGTATATACTGCAAGGTAGGCAGGAGCTTAGCCTGACCATACAGACCACCGCTCATATCTGAAAGCTGGCTTTGGGACTGAGGCAGAACCGAAAACCTCAACAGAGAAGCCCCTTCAGGTTGCAGGAAAGGTCGAACAAGCGCCAATGTTCCCCTCAAACTGCAACCCCTCCCAAATAAAACGCAGGTAGAAAAAACCCTCATGCACTTGCGCGAAGACGGTTTTTCAAACAAAATGCATAGAGTTCTATTCGCGCGGCCTGTGGATTTCGCTTCTACGTTGCCCCATCGCGGAACCTGAGCCCTGTGCGCGGGATGGCAGCCCTTAGCAGCCTCCTCAGAGCCTCTCAGGGTCTCCCTTTCTTTCTATGGGAAGTGGCCAGCTGGGCCGGCGGCGCGCGCTCCTCCTGCCTCCTGCTTTGGCGCGCGCGCCGCCCATCCGAAGGCTCCCCGCTCCCCGAGCGCGTCTCCGTTTGCCTCTTTGCTCTCTCTCTCCGCCGGGCGGGTTCACTCGGGAGCTCCGGCCTCGCTTGTGCAAGAAAGGGGCGGGGGGCCGCGGCAACATGGCGCTCGTGCCGTGCCAGGTGCTGCGCGGCGCCATCCTCCTCTCCTACTTCTCCATCCTGTGCAACTACAAGGCCATCGACATGCCCGCGCACCAGACCTACGGAGGCAGCTGGAAATTCCTGACGTTCATTAATTTGGTAAGTCGCCCGCCCGCACCGCCTTCCCCTGCGCGGGCGTGCGCACCTGGGAAGGGCGGCCGGACGCGCTCCTGCTCCTCCTCCGCCGCCGAGCAACGAAGGGGGCGAGGCCCGCGCGGGGAGGAGAAGCCCCGCTGGGCTCCTCGAGTGCCTCGCGCTCCCTTTGGCTTCCTCCCTGAGAGGAGACCTTGACTGGGGCGGGGCGAATGTCCCTTCGGTTCCCGGGGTTGCCGAACGGAGCCGGGGAAGGGGAGGAGCCCGGGAGGGAAGCTTCACTCATCCAAGCGGCGAGAAAGAAGAGGTGTCCCCCCCCACCTCCTCTTTTATCTTTTGTCTTCTGTTGTCAGTTCACTAATCCCCGCAAACGGAACAGATCGCCAAAAAAGGAGGGAGGTTCTCCTTCATGTCATGGTCTGGTTTTCTGGGCATGTCAACATTGATCCAAGACATGCTTCCCAAGACAGCTCCCACTTCAGGAAGAAAGGATCAATTGCATCAATGGAGGATGTTGTAGTTATAGTGGCAGGTCATGACGGTATAAAGCACCAGCATGCTACCCATTAAAGGATTTATTCCCCTTCCCCCCAAAAAAATAATCAGGGGAGAATAGTTCATCACATATTTCTTTCAAAATGGCCACACTCTTCATGTACGAACTAGGACAATGGTCTTCAACTGGTGGGTCGCGGCCTGATCCGAGGTGGGTCTCAGCAGGAGCGCTTCCATGGTGCAGGGTATAAAATTAAAAAAGGGGCCCCCAAATGTGTGTTTGTGTTAACAGTGGTTCCTGGGTCTCAAAGGTGAAGATCATGCACTATGAGAAGGCTTGGGAACCTCCATGTGTCCTTGGGCTACAACCCTCATCAGCCTAGCATGGTTGGCAGTTGGAGATGATGGGAGTTGCTGGATCATAGAGAGCATCTGGAGGGCCAGAGTCCCCCATCCGTGCACTAGAACAAGACATTTGTTCGCCACCCCTACACTAAACACACAATTGTAACTGCTTCTTCCCAATATTACCACATATGCCATCGCCATCACATACAGTAGCAACAAGTGCCATTTTGTCTGCTGTTAGTGAAAGGCCCAGAAATTCCACACTCAGTCTGTGCGAAAGCGGTGTCTTAGGAACATAGCAAGTTGCAGTGGTCCACCTAGCTCAGTTCTGTTGTTGATACTGACTGGCAGCGGCATTCTAGGTTTTCAGGCTGGAGCCCTTTCTAGCTCCACCTAAAGTGGCCCAGGATTGAACCTTGCACCTTTTGCATACCTTAGACACAGCCCTTCTCCCAGATAATCTGTTTTGCCTACACAATACTTAATGGTGTTTATAAGCTACTCATGGGCCACAGAGTTCAAATTCTTAGGTTACCCAGTGATGCTACAGTGTGCCTGGTTGCAGGCTGTCTAGCTACCTTGTGACATGACAGCAAAGTCAGTAGCATCAAGAGGGACCTTTACCATTTTGTACTGTGACATCAAATATGAAGAAAGGGAGTTCAGGAGATGGCTTCAATGTGTTTTGTACAATTTGTCACTCTAACATACATGTGCACCTCTGGCATCATATGAAATGGATGCAGATAACAGGCTGTGGATATATTAGTCATCATCATCATCCTATGGCCCTAGTAAAATTATCACCCATGTTGGTCATTGGTAATGAGTAACTTTCATAACAAAATCCCACCTTTAATTTTGTGGGTTTTTAAAAAGCTCAAAATATGTACTGTCCAGTTTGGGGCTATAGGTTACACATCTTATACCCAAAGATCCATACTGTATTGAAATTTGGTGTAGAGTGGGGGAAATTGCTTGAAAGGTGCAGAACGGTTATGAGTAGCTTTCAATGAAAAGGTTTGTGGTATTCTTTACTCCTATTTGATTATTACATACATTTGACAATTTTTTTTTACACAAGATGTTATTTCAGTGAAAGTTACTGATTACTGACAGCCATCAGGACCAATAATTTTTACTACAATCATAAGCTATAAAAAAGTAGCTTGTCCAATCCTTCAAGATGGTACCAACTTCCTATTTTAAGGCCTACTTAATTGGAAGGAACAAATCTGAAAAAATTATATTTTTCCCTGCATGATTTCTGTATCTTTTTTTACCATGGCCCACCAAAATATTCCAGTCTTTCCATTCTCTGAAAGATTCATCTCAACTTCAAAGTTAATCTGATACAGTACTAATAACTTTGATTGCTTTAAAGGTAGAAAGTGATTATTGTATGACTGAGTAATGCTGTACTCTTTTGTATCATGTCAATTGAACAATTAATCTTTTTAAAACTGAATTGTGAATTCTGTCAATTCTTCATGAATTGATTGGAGTTGATGCTGCTGCTGAATATTTGCACTGTGTTTTTCCTTTTATATATAGCCAACTTTTTGTCTTTTTTATTGGACATGATTAGTTTAATTGCAACCATTTCCCTATGTTAGCTTCCATTCACTGACAATGAAATTATAAGGCCTCTTTATTATAAGGCATATTTCCATTGTTTGCAGGAATTTAATCAGACCTTAAGATAGGACTGTTTTTCTTATTGATGGATTGTCTACCTTTTCTTAGTTTGTTTATTTTACTATATTTTACTATTTCCCCAAGTATTAAAGTATGGCAAGTTACATGAGGGGGGGGATTACTGCAGTTGAGAGCCACTTTTTTCACTGAATTGTGCAGTGTTATTTTTGCAACACTGATGGGGCTGTTTAAAATAAGGACATATTTTAAGAAGTTTCTCCCACCATATTATATGTAAAAAGTTGCCAAATTAACTGATTGAAACTGCATTACTTTTCACAATTTTCAAGGCTAGCACTGTTGCATTTTGTCACATTCCATTTATCTTCATGGCATCACAGAAAGTGCTTTATTTCTTAGGCTGCATTCATATGAACAAAAACAACAGTATTGGGAGTAGTTAGGTCTGTCAGAATTGCACGACATTTTTCTAACTGTATACTTTTGCTTTATATGCAGTGATGCACAGCTCACATTCCACTCAAAAGTAGGCTTACGTGCACTGAAGCTAGGTGAAGATAACTGGAGTTTCCTCTACTAGCTTTCTAGAAAGGAAGTGATCGTAGAACTCGTATTAATGATTAATCTATCCTGAGAGCTTTCTTACCCGGGGGTAACTTGGTCATTAATAGCATCCTGCAAACTGGTAATGCAAAGCTATTACACATTGGGAGCAGATGTATGTATGTGTGGGTGGGGGGTGGAATAGCTATCTTCATGGGCTCATTTTCTCTGCAGTAGATTATTTGAATCCTGTGATGGGTGGAGCAAGGCATATTGATTGTATATTGGCCCTCTTTGAAAGAGAAGAGTGATAAAGAGCGTGGATATTGAGCAAATGAAGCCTTTTCAGCGATTCCTATTTACTGCTACTTAAATCTTTGAATTTTTGCTTGACATGCAGCCTCTAAAGTCATAGAAGCTATATTAGAAAAAAAGAATTGGGAACCAAAGTGAACCTAACTAGTTTGGAAAGTATTCTAGTTTGCTTGACTGTGTTTTGAATTCCTGACTACTAGGCATAAAACAGTTTGGGTGTTTTTTTAAAACAATACTTAGTGATAGCCAGATGGCAATTCTATTTAAGAAACAAATGTTTTCCATCCTATTAGTACCACTTCGCAAGAGTATAACGTTGGATAAACGAAGAATATTTATTATTATATTTTGGACACAACTTCAGTCTTTGGCACCACAGTACACAACATCAATCTTTGGCACCACACAGGCAGAATTTAGGTTCTTGATACATTTGAAGGCTACAGGCAATTTGTGAGGAGCATGTCATTTAAAATAAAGGCTGACTTGCAGGCTGTCATGGGGCAGTAATCTCTCTCAGCATTAGACTTTGAGAAACTGCTTGTAATTGTGGTAATGTTATATACCCTTCATGTCAGTTGTTTGTATCTTAGTTTCCTATTGAGAAAAACACATGATAAAATGTGTCTGGGTTTGGGGGGAAATGTGAAAAATAACTATATTTAGTAAAAAATACTTTCTTGCTTTGTCTTTACTGTGCTTTGACTGATACTACTGAAGTGCATTGACAACCTTTTTCTGTTATTCATTTATTCTGTTAGTTGTATGCCTCTTTTCCACAAAAGAACCATGCTCAAAGTGACTAGCCACAAAGAAAGAGGAATGCAACAGTACAAAAAAATTCATAGTAACATAGAAAGTCAATAACAAAGCAACAATTTCATAACATAGCAAAATAATAACAATAGCAATTGCATAACATAGCAAAATAATAACAATTGCATAACATAGCAAAACAATAGCAAATATAATACAGTAACTTATTAAAAAACCACATTCCAATACAATAAATATTACAAGATTACACTTAAACAACATGCAGCATCCAATAGCAAAAATAACAAGGGAGCTTCACCTTCATCTTAGAGATAACCCTCCTATGACCCCGCTCACAGTCCCTCTCTTGCAGCAGCTTCCTATAAGACTTCCAGGGACAATGGGTGGTGTAGCTGGGAACACTTCTCTCATGGTGTTTATAATTGTTTGTGTAAGCCCATGACTTTTTCTGTCTGGTTGCATGTCTACTAATTTTTTCTTTAAGGTAACATAATAGATTCTCAGCATGATCAATTAATTAGCATTAATGGCACAAACTATGACCAATAGTGCTACAACTAATCAGATTAGAACTGTGCCCTATCTATTTGGCCACACACTTTCTCCTTTCATCGCAGACTAATCCTTACGTTATCTCATTTAATTATTAAACTTCTCTCCCACCTTTCCTGCATCCACGGAAGGTTGCAAAGTTGATGAAACGTCATTGGCTAAAACAACGAAACCTAAAGAGTAAAGCTGTTATAACTGGCAAATCTGCTGTACATTTAGACTAATGCAGGCTTGGGTTAGAATCATAGAATCATAGAATCATAGAATCATAGAGTTGGAAGAGACCACAAGGGCCATCGAGTCCAACCCCCTGCCAA